AAGTATTCGGAACCCACCCTTTACTTTTTCCGCAATCCACAATGATTAGTCGTGATCCTTTGTTTGCCGGCATGTTAGGCGTACACATTCTCGAACCATCAGTCCATCCTTTTGTAACTATGTCGTGAGTGTCATACCAACTGATTTCAGTTGTAGGAATCTCATTGCTTTTTTAACAGTCGTATATTATTTTTTTTAATGATTTTATTAGATGGACATCTAAAGGTTTTGGAAATCCACATCGCGTCTTGCGTTCATAAGGTTTGTTTTTGATGTTTTACGTACAGTTGAAAAAGAATTTCGGTCAAATCTAATGTTGCTTGTAATACTTTGTTGCCCTGGTAACCAAACTTGAGATGTAGATTCTTATATACATTGAAACATACTCTCTGTGTTTCAATATTCAAATGCATCTGAATCTTATTCACTAGTACCTCTTTTTCGCATTGTTCACCATCGCTATTGGAATCACTACTCTGGAAAAAGTCTGCATTGTTATCACACTCGTTATTACTATTAGTACGTGTCCAAGGACGCCACATTTTAAACAGATAACAAAAATTTTGAGTGCTTATAACTGCACCTATATCAAATTTCAACACTCAAATCGCGGTCAGTTCCTGAACTGAACAGGACGGCGATAACTATCTCCGCATTCCCTGATTTCTATTCGTCATCGTAAAATTATCCAATACGAACCGCCAAGTCTACAGTCTACGTGGACTAGTTGGCAGCCAGTTCATTTCTATGTATTGGTTTTTTTTTGGCCTTTGAGAGTGTCGCCAACTTTAAGTATGCACATTATCGTTTACTTCGACTATACCGTACTTAATTGGTTAACAGTAAATTAGATAGAATTTGTAAACCAATTAAAATCTCAGTTCTTGGACAACAGATAAATTTTTGAGATAACAGATAGAATTTTTAAAACAATTACAGTCTCAGTTCTCTAAGAGTCGATAATTTTTTTGAAATACCAAGTAGAATTTGTAATTGGTTTACAAATTCTACCCGTTATCTCATTCACTATTAATTACGTTAGTCAACATAAATACAACCTATGAACTAGAAATCATCAGTCATCGGTGAATCATCAAGATGAATAAGCCTCTGAAAAAACCAGTTAGGATGCAGTTCCAAACTACGAAGGCCTTCAAACCCGAATGGAGATAGTAACACTATTTCAAGAATCACAAAACAGAAACAAAAAAGTTACTTCAGAGAGTGTAATTCAAATACTCTAGATAGGAAATGTTTGTGCGTTGGATAAACGAATATAACAACTTAGAGTTAACATTTTTGTTTTTCATCATCGTAAATACTCAAGTCCTTAGCTTATACTCGGAAATCCAAAAATGTATAGTATTTCCAATACCAATTGGAACGGTACAGAGAAGGAATTTCCGCCTCGACATAGGCGTCGGCATATTATTTTTCAGTGGTAGTTTTCCAGTTACTTATTCTTACAATCATAGCAATTGATCACCCCATGAAAAAGTTATCTCAACTGAATTTTTCCNCAATTAGGATAATCATCATTTAACAAACAGGAATCTGTCCACATCGGACCAAAAAACTTTAGGTATATTAACAGCTAACCCTTGTCTTTAGATTTAGTATCAAATTGATTCTCCAAAAATATCAATTTGGTGTTTGATCTCTAGAAAAAGTTTTCAAAAATCGGGTTGCAAAACCACTCACTACCTCACCTAACCCTACGAACACACGGCACTGATAAATAAATATTGTGAAACGGACAAAGAATTTGTATTCAGCCAGTTCAGCTAGCCAAGCCTTCATTTCTTAACTACATTTAATAGCACGTTTACTAACTATCTGGGCGACTAGGGGCCATAGGAGAGAAATGTTTATGACTGTACTCTTATTTTTATTGGAGTTCTAATTGGGAATGGATAGACTACACTAAGTATTTTCACACATGTATTTTTTTCCAGCTCATGAAATTATGCTATTCAGTGGTTACTTGCTTTTCGTCGCTAATGGATATATAAAAAAATGTCATTGCCATATCCTACAAAGTAGAAGAACAACGTCAATGGTTCTGGTATGGTATAAATATTTTTCACTTTTACATATGATAACTGTAGTGTAAATTTCTATTAAATGGAATACGAGTATAATGTTTGTTTCGTCTTCAACTATTGATTATTTCTACCACCGCCCTTTCAATTCGTTTAGTATACAATTCAATTAGGCAATTTCCATAAAATTTACACATTATTGCTAGAAGTTTCTCAACTTCTGAGAGTTGTCGTTCGTATCGGGGCGACAGCTGATTAACGGAAAAACAGATTTTAAAACAGATTTTTAATTACGAATTTCCACTAAACGAACAAAACCACAACAAAACAGCAACTGTGTCGATTTCGATAAAACAAAAACTTGAGTTTTCAATATAAGAAACATTTTGAAGACTCTGTGTCGTAAGCAACTGTTTCTGTCAACAATGGAATGTCCCGTCGACAAGTGGAACAGTCAAAAGGTTTCGGTGTTTTGTCTGCGTTTTTGTAAACAGAGTTCGCAATGTAGAAACGGTAGGCGACATCATTACTTTATTTATAGTGTTAATCGGTGGTGGGTATAAATTTCAATTATCGNCATATAATATATTTTTGTTGTAGATATGTTTCAGATAATCATAAAAGGTTTTCTTATTCGAAGTTCATTGTAGAAAACGCTCAGAACAATGAAAAAAATATGAATGGGTACCTAAAAATGAAAAAAAAAAACTCTCGAAAAACTCTACGGTACATAGAGAGACGCGAAAGTATCACAGCCAACCAATTTCCAGGGCCGTAATTCAAAAGGGAATAATTCACACAATTATAATCGAATATTACCGAAAAATCCCGAAATATAAAATTGAATTTAATTTCTCAGTATGAAATGAACGTCTACGATCCAAAGCAATATATTGGATTCGGGAACAATACAAAGGTCGAAAAAAAATTACGGGGACTCTCGCCCTTCTCGAGTTATACGGGGATAACAAAAAATGCTGTTTTCCGGAAAATATCAAAAAATGACAAAAGACAATGTTATTGTATTCAAAGTGTACTATGACGATGTAATAATAAATATTCGATAAAACGTTTCATGTCAACATGGCCACCATCAACTTTTTTTTCAAATACGGACCTGTCTTTTTTATTACAGATATTGATAAAGCGATAAATTCTTAATCCACGGGTATATCACATTTGATATTTTTATAGCATTTCAGTTGAAATAACCACCATCATCAGTGACAACAATCAAACAGAAAAACAATTGATTTTATCATGACCTTTTGGGAATATTTGGATGTTCGGAATACGACGATTCGGGTATAGGTCAACATACTAAAAGAGGATTTCTATTTGATTTTGCACAAATAAATAGCATATCAGTCCTTTCATCATTTGAATACATCTTTGATAAGTTCATAAACGTCTGACAGTTCTCTATAGATATCAACAACGCATTCATTTTTCCTGCCATAGAAATCAAGCAAAGGCTATGCGTTCAAGATGGTAAATTGAGATACTATTTGATCATACCAAATTATACAACAATCGAATTTTGACCAAAAACTGATATTTTCATTACTTCCAGGATTGAGAATTATAAAAATATTTCGAATTATAATTGATTAGGGAGGAATAAGCCTTGAAAAAAGAATTACGGCAATACAAAAATTTCCAAAACGAAAATGTACGAATTTTCATTGTGTTAGGGTACCTGTCGAATTTATTAGGTTGTCTGAATTATATTTTAAATAAATCAATACAATTTACAAAAGAAGTAACGACAGGACCGTAATTTAAAATTGCTGTCACTGATGAAGGTAATTATTTCAAATGAAACGCTATAAAAATATCAAATGTGATTTACCCTTGGATTGTGAATTTATTGCTTTATCGATATCTGTATATAAAAAGACTGGTCCTCATTTAAAAAAAAAAAGTTGATGGTGGCCATGTTTCCACGAAACGTGGTAATAACAATTACATTCGAAAAAAACGAAAAACATCATTTTTGGTTTTCCCCGTATAACTCGGGAAAGGAGAGAGTCCCCGTAAATTTTCTTCGACCATTGTACTGTTCCCGATGACAGTTATCTTTTTTCCCATTCAATCGTCTTCGTATCTGTTACGGTTTCGAATATAGCTATGTTACCACATGATAAAAAAACGGCCTGTATAAGAAAATGAATATTTCGAAACAAAATCTCAAAAGTTTGTTTGAAGGTGATTGACAATGTTTTATGATGAATTTCACTAGTTCGGACTTCCATTGTCTACTATATAAAATGATTTGAAATCCCTGAAACAACTAAAAAAGAAGAATTAAAAATGAAAAGCTAAAAATAACAATTATATTAAGCAAAATGAACCTGAAATGAAATAATAGTGAAATAAAATACAAGTAAAAATAGAACAATTGAATAAAT